GGCAATATAGTGCCTTATGCCTGGAAATTTAGAAATTGGTTGGAATTGGTTGGAATGATACCTTGTCAGTGTTGGATTTAGAAGGGGGTCAGGGGGGTCCTGACGCCCCCCCCCCCTTTCAATTTCTGCAAGAAAAAACTCCCCTCTTGAAATAAGACTTTTCACTAGTTGAATCATAGTTCTTAACCATACCAAATGGCACCATTCACCATCTAAAATTCCAAAAATTTTCAGGGCCCTTTAGCAGGCGGGGGAGGGGGGTAGTCAATTCAGTTTATGTTCACCTTAATTGCAGGCTGTCTCATTTCTTCTTCAATAATTTATTCATAACTTTTATTCCGATTTCGTGATATCATTTGATCATAATTTTTGCTTTTCTGTATAGCAACAAGTATGACCAAATACATATATATTCTGGTCAAATAAATCGATCTCTGTGCTGACAATAAAGAAGAAAGAATTCAGCACGTAGGGTCCCTTTGAACAGCGCTTAAAGCGGTCGGGAACGGTCCTGTACGCTAATGGCCCACAGACAGTCCTGCAGGGCCTCGTATCTCGAAAGCATCGCTTATTGAGAATAGCTATATCACACAGAGGCTACAATATATTATATGGGGCGAGTTATTGGATCAAGATGCTTGCGCTCGGTCGCAATGCGTGATACTTTCGAGTTACGGTTTTACAAAAAAATGTTGCCGCTCGACTCATTGCAAATCGAAGTCACCTTTCCATGGGTCCCAATTTGTTCACTTTCGTTTGGTTCTGTCGTAATCTTTCTTATTTTTATTTCTTCCCTCAATTGTTTTTCTTTTATGGACTTCTCTATCGGACTTGATAGAATTTTTTTTTCATTTTTGACAGCCCAAGATGAAAGCACGTGGGATTGGAACTACATCTGACGCACGGCGTAAACTCGTACGTTCACTCATTATTTTGGGATTCAATTTTTTTTGTAAAATTCTTCTTTAATTTACCTCTGTTGCCTCCGTTGTCAATATCATTTTTTTTTATACTTTCACATTTTTATTACTCTCAACCTGCAAATTGCTACTCGTGGTATCTCCTCTACACAAAACAATGACGTAACATTATCTGCTGTGCACCGAAGCTGGTTAAGAACAATGTGCCTCGTTTCAAATTGTCTTTCAACTTCATATCACACAGACGGACCTTTGAAAACGAGGCCACTGAGAGGGAGACTGTTGGTTTCATTTCGATACGAGCGTTCGATTGCAATCTATGGTTAGTTCTTTAATTGCTTCTATGAAAGTGAGTGAAAACAGTGAGTTGATTTGATATTTTTCTGAAATCGCTTGTGAACATAGACAAAATAAAAGGTGAAAATAGGCTGTAAAAATAGCCAGCCAGTCGGGTGGGTAATTTGTAAATCTTACCCGCCCGGCCTGAAAGTTACCAGCCTGGGGCTGGCGGGCTGGCGGCCATTTCATACACTGCATATTATCTGACTGTACACAGCACAGTGCTGATATGAGAGTGAATACATTTAGTGAAAACATTAATATAGCATCATGCTTATAAATAGAAATACCATTTAGAATTGTCATATTGAAGAGAATTGTTGCATTAGATGAATATAAATAGAAATACCATTTAGAATTGTCATATTGAAGAGAATTGTTGCATTAGATCAATATAAATAGAAATACCATTTAGAATTGTCATATTGAAGAGAATTGTTGCATTAGATCATTATAAATAGAAGTACCATTTAGAATTGCCATATTGAAAAGAATTGTTGATCATGAGTGCCAAAAATATAGAACTATGATGATCATAAACACATATCCAATGCCATGGGGACCAGTTGTAAGGTTAGATTATGAATGTCTCCCACATAACACCATGGTGATTATAAACACATACCCAATGTCATATATTGTGGGGACCACTTTCCATGGAAGATGATGCATGTGCAGCAGACAAAGCTGGATAAGAAAGTCATTAAGGTCAAGTTTTTAGTAGTTTATTTTTCAAAATGTTAAAGATAACTGTTAATACCACATAAAAGCAGGTGAAACCAAAGTGATTTTAAGTTTAGAATATGTAGGGTATATGTGAAATATCAGAGCTGGCATCCATCAACCCTGAATGATAAATAAATGTTAGACACAACATGGTAGCTCTAGACCTTTTTAAAGTAAACAATCTTTGCATTCAGCCCATCATTTTCATTCCAGTTGATTTACTAATTGTTTTATACAATATGTGATTCTTTTCAAGGTGATAACATTTATGACACATTTTATGATTTGTCAGCTTGAATGTATGAAGTGTAAAGCTACAGTCATGTCACAAATTTATCAAATCCTTGAGAACATCTCATGAATGTGTGGTGACCATGAGATAAGTAACAGTAAGTTCTACCAACACAATCCTTGAGAACATTGACAACATGAGGTTATAAAAGACAAACCTTGAATTCTTTCTTCTTTAATAGAAACTTGGATAACAGAGTAAGTAATGGCAGCATTTCATACTAATGGTAACTTAAGGGGATAATAACTCTTCGTTTTGGCCAAAAAATGAATTTTCCTGGAGTAAACAACAATTTTCCCATACTTACCAATGGTAAATGAATCCATTTTTACATTCAAAGTTAGTCCCTGGTTTTTTTCTAAAACGTTTGTTTTTTTGTTAAAATCTTTTAAGAGATTATTACAGAGTACAGCCATCAATGGAGGTCACGTGATCTGAAGACAAGCTTAGATATCAGAATAATAGCTATAACTATTGTTTTTGTGGTAAAACAGACTATATTATATTTCTATGAGTTGTTCACAATGTTTTTATTGTGAAATATAGATATTGTACGAAGAGTTATTGTCCCTTTAACTGGCCCACAGTGAATTTGTCATATTAAATATACTAGTATAAAGTGCCGTCGTCGCCACCACTGTGAGTAATGTCAGTGTCAGATGCTTTCAAATTTGGACTTAATGAGTTAATTGAGAATTATGGCATTATTTGGAACATCACTGCCACCACCAGAAATCTCATCTACATTCCAAAATATCTTTTGCTATGTTATGTTAGGTTAGGTTAGGTTAGGTTGTGTTATGTTACATTATGTTATGTCATCCATAATACTAACAGGTAACATTGATATTTAGTGCCCAATGATGGATGTTGGCAACTTTTGAGATTTACAGAAATAAGCAGTTGACTTTATTTTGCAGATTCCGAGTCATGGTAATTAAAATTTATAAGACCTCATATCAGTGACAATTTTTTTTCTTAGACCCTCAGTCATTGGCAGTTTTTCTCAGTGTTTGTATGCAGCAGTTCAAATATTGAATATGATAAGAGCAATTACCCAATCCTTAGATAGCAATTCCCATAGTTTCCTGGAATGTTTGGAAGACTCAGATAATATCACAAAATCAATGTCTTTTCAAAACAGTGTTTTCCAGGTCATATTTTGTTCTATATTGATTATACAGATTGCAGGGCATTGCAGCTAAAGCAGAGCTGGTGCTTTGAAGTGGCACTGAATTAAGTATTCTATAATTGTTGTTATTTAATGTTGAGATAGAAATTTCAAGTTCAGTATATTTTATTCAGGTGTGCCTTATTTGCAAAGCTGCTGTAAGATAACATTGTATTACATGAATAAAAATAGTATCTAGTTTCCATTACACATTTCTTGTTTTTCAAAAGCTTATGGTGTTAATCCTCAGAAAATAGAAAACACTTGAGACATGTTTACATGTGGAGAAATCTGGTTTGTTTCATGTGCGTGCCTGGTTCTCACCTAGAGAAGGCAGTAGAGCCCTAAATTCAGAAGGTTCACTGTTAACAAGATCTGCAGTTTTCAAAAATAAAGGAGCCTTGATCTGAAATAGACCATTATTCTGAAGATCCCCTATTCTGAAGGTCTGTTATTCCGAAAAAGGTTGATTGATGCGCTAAAAAAAAAGAAAACAAATTGTATTAGTTGCACAATCAGGGCACGTACTGGCCACCATGTCAAAGAAGTGCATTTTATTTGTTATCTTTGTGCTTTTTGCACTCTATCTGTACTTTCGGAATAGCAGCCCTTTGTAGAACCTGGGGATAGCGTATCCTTGGAATACTGGGCCTTCAGAATAGGGATCCCTTAGAACCTTGTCCATCTTGTCCAAGTGTAAACAGGCCGTAGCTGACAGCCTTGAAGAAAGTATGAAAGATGATGATGTTTTGATAATCTCTGCAACAGTAATGCACAGTTGGAAGCAGTTCAGATAGTAACACTTCTGTGTATGTGGGCCTGAATGGAATGGAACTCAAGAAACTGATCAAGCTATATATTGCAGCCTGTGCTGATATATGATCTGATACATGTCTTTGTCCTGAAAAATATGACCACAGTTGTGTAAAATTGATGGAGAGATATATTTGAACACATCACATTGGATTTTGATATGCCAGTATTTGATATAGAAGATTGGGAAATTTGGTACTTTATGTACATATACCTGAAAGGAATATGAATTGTTTAAATATGAGAAACCAATTAATGATGTTGATGGATAATAAAGAACAAAAAACTTTATGTACAAGCCCCAGGTACTTAGTGGATCATGCTAAATTACTTGAAGGTTTCAATCATATCAGGATATAAAAAGTGGATTTGAACAGTGATGAATATACCCAATGGGGTCTTCTTGATTGAATGTATCAAGTACGGAGCCTCTGTTTCCGTGACTGTCATATATAATGGCCAGGTGTTAAGTTTTCAGTTTCTGGAATTGTAGTGGGATAGGCCGTATACTGCTAGAGTGTACTACATGAAGTGACAAGGATCTCTTCCCCCCCCCCCCCCCCCCCCCCCCCATGCTGGGCAGACTGGACTGACCAACATGGTCCACAGCTGGACTACAGGGCCTCCAGCCAGTGACCCCAGCTGTTCCATATCAATTGTTCCTGGCCTTCTATTGATTTCATATTGCACACATTATATTGGAGACTTCAGTGAGAGGAGCAGAGGGTCTGTAGTGGGCAGGAATTAGTTTTCGTTTTTTTTCTGTTTTTTTTTAAAGATAATTTATTTGGAGTTCTGCAGAGTTGTAAACTAAGACCAGGAATTCTGGGATCTAATGACTTCCTAACATCAGATGTCAGATATATCAGTAATCATAGGTGGAGTGTATTTGTTGTAGTCATATGTTTTCACACAGAACAAGACTCAGACAGACAGTGAATCATATTTATTACCATGTAGTGGTGGCAATAATTTAATTTTCAGTGCAGGTATTTGTCAGGAATATTATGATGATTGATGTGCATGCCGTCATCAATCTGACAAGGGTGGCTGATGTCATAGCTAGATAAATAGCACTCCATTCCAGCAGTAAGTACTTGGTATAGCATCAGAGCATGCGTGAGAGAGTATGCAGTGCATGATGATGCACACACACACATGCAGGAAGAAAGGTGCATCACTTCCAGATATCTGGTGCATTATACTGTCTGCGAACTTGCCTGGAGTGAGTCATAGATGTCTAACAGGGAAGTCTGGGAGGGAGCCAGACATATTGGTCCATATACTCCACAGCCATTGGGATATTATATATACCCTGTCAGGGCCTGTGTATAGGTTATAGAGTGCCCAGTGAGTGGATTTTAACCCATCTGACCTTACTGTTGGGAGGTTCACACTGCTGCAGCCAGAGACTCAGTTACAATTACTGCAGAGAATGTGAGTGACAGGAAGAGTAAAGATACAATAGCAGTACAGTTGCACAGACTGAATGACAAGCACAGCAAAAACTGAGGTACAGAATTGAAAACAGCAGTAACATACAAACATAGCAGAGACTGGGATACAGTGACAATACTGAATGAACATAACAGTACTAAGTTATAGCAGGTCAACTGTAGCCTAGACTTGCATTCCATAGTAGTTGCTATGACATTTTAACAGTGGACAGGATGTCTGACAGCTCTATCTAGTATCAGTGGTATTAATCCAGGTACACAGAGAAGAACCCTCCAGTGACAGTTTTGTCTGAGGAGGTAGTGCCTCACCTGTCCCTCTTCAACACCAGATGTCTTTACTGTATTTATAATCCATATACCTGGAACAATATACAATACATGTGGGCAGTGATTGGATAAAAGTGAGATTTATGATTCAGTTATTACACATCCTAATTAAGGGCATATCAAGAGATTGATCAGAGCCAGGATTGAGCATGCTAAAATATACCTATAGTTTTTTTATGGTTTTGGATATTGAGTATACATAGAGGGCCCAAATGATGTATTAACCAGTGCCAGAGTTATGTATACCAGTGTATGGCTGGAAGGCACTCTGTTGTGTTGTTGATCTGGAGGAGGGGTGTATTTAAAGTTGTCATTAAGGAGACATAGATGTGAACAGTCAGGGAAATTAGTACAGCACAGAGCTCTGTATATAAAGGACAGTGGGCGTTATTTTCAGTAACCAAGTACAGCTGCTAGCCAGGGCAGCACAGCTTTGGTCTCAAGACGTGGTATTAAATACAGTTTTTATGGTGATAAATTCTGACAGACTGGTAGAGAGTGACAGACAAGTATATTGGCTGATACTGCAAGAGCTATCAAGAGAAGCCTTCTGAAGGACTAAGATTTCTTTGCCATTTGTTGTATATGAATTTACAGCCAGGATTGAGACCAGGAGTATTTCTTTGAATGCTGCTGAATTCTTGTGGTGTTTACACATTGGATATAAATATATTTGATTGACTTTCACATCTGTTCATTATGTTACTGTACTATACCTGTACTTATACCTGAGTTATTTGTGTACATAGTTGGATATATCTGAAGTACCTGTACATATTATGATATAGGAGTATGCGGGGAATGTACTCCTACACGTACTAGCCACTAGTACAGAGTGGTGCTATAGGTCCCCTGATCTTGTAAAGTATAGATTACAATGTCCTTGTAAATATATCTCTTGACTTGACTGCAGTACATTGATCCTGCAGTATTCCCCACTGGATATAGAGAACACTACCAGAATATGTCCAAGTTGTGATGGATGTTGATTTTTGGTTCTCATGAGGCACAAGCTTTGGCGGAGGTGGTTAAAGTTTCCAGGATTATTATAGAGCTAGCTGATGAGTTAATACTGACATATAGCTGAGCTGGCTGTGGAAACTGTAGCCAGACTTTGCTGCGAAGTATAATAAATCAAATTGAGAAACTATACTTTACAGATGGAAGTCTTTATCTTAGTCTTGCTGGATGTCCACATGGAGTACCACTGAGTGTATGGATGTTGGATCAGTGTTGGATAGTAAGGTGCAGCAGGTCAGGACTTATTACATCATTGTAGAGCTACTGGGAGTGCTACACAAACACAAGGTTTAGACTTCACCTTACTATGACTGGCTCATAGATTGTCATCATTGATACACACAGAAAGAAAATAACAGGGAAAATGAAAGAGGAATTAAACCAGTGATATGGGCAGCATTTGAGCCAAGCTAATGGAAATAAATCTCAATGTTAGTGGTATCAGCTGTTAGAGTGGTATTGCTTTCTATATGGACTGGAATATATAGTAAATCAGGCACAGATTGTGTGTCAGGAGCACTCTGTCCTCTCAACACTCTCTCTGTTTAGATATAGTCTTATTGATATATAACTGTAAAGCTTGACACTGCTCTGTGAGCTCCTTTACTTGATCTGTTACATCCACTAAATATTTGGATGTAGATTAAAAAAAAAAAACAATTTTCTCTGACATGGCGTGCTTTTGATCAAATCAGACGAGATGGGAATGATTTGGACATTTGTTGCCACGGGACTGTACTGTGAGATCTTGGTAGCAATTATTTTGATGTTGCCATGGATACCGTGTGAAAGGTGAGCCTTTGGTCCCCTGACAGTTCGTCAGATTCAGTTCATAAAGAGCTACTTGAAGTATACTAGTTGTGTGTAGACTGGTTATATTATTCATATGTAGGTGGTAACTTTTGTAAAGAATTATTTTACGGATATTTTATTTGTTTGTGTGTTTGACCTAACAAAGCTCATCCCTGATATGAAAAATAAATTTTACACCCACCCCCCACTCTTCTTCCCTGCTCCCCCCACCCTCCCACCCCACAACCCCCCCCCCGACCAGCCACCCCACTACCCCCTGTGCCTGTTAGTTGGTAGCATATAACTGATCTCTGTTATTTATATTTATATATGGATTGCCCCTGTAACATAAATGAACTTTTTCTAGATCAGTCTTAACTCTGTGCCCAGGGTGTAGACTGGGTTAAGCACTCACCACCTGCCTGACTGTGTTTTATAAGGGAAATAATGGTGTGTTCTCTCTCTGTATGGAGTGGGCTGTAACCCAGGGCTCACTGGGCAGATGGTCAATTAATCCATCATCAGCATGCACTTGTGACAATTGGATTTATTTCAATAGTTGAAGTATTTACAGTATTCAGATTGTGCAGTTGGAGTACAATGATGCCTTGATTAAAGACATAGTATCTATGATCAGCCTCCACATTGTGTGGCATATTGACCTCACATTAAAGAAAGTTCTGAATCAAGTCCATTGTAAAGTTAAGGCATACAATGAAAAGATAACATCTTGAAATGTTCAATTTGACTTTTTTTATTAATGGAAAGGAGAGAGAGATATATATATTGTAGTCCGGGTGCTAGTGTTCTATTTTCTATAGTACCTATACTACAATCAGTGACAAACATGTGCACGTCTTCCAGTGAGAAGTTGTTCTGAGTATGATGTGATAACTGAGATGTATTGTGAGATATGGAGACTTAGGGTGTGGTATAAAGTGACTGTAGCAGGTGCTTCTGTTCAGTAAATCCAGACATCTAATAATTGCTAAGGCCACATTCACAATCTGTTGATTAGCAGACTAACAGATCTGCAGATCAACTTTGCTTGTGAATGTGGCTTTCATTGTTTTGTTTACAGTATAATAGATGCAATTAAAATAGAAAATTTTACCTCACATTTTTCCTCTTTAATTCAATTTAAGTTTATTATGAATGTTGATGATGTCATTCCAGATGGCAGAAACTGTTCAAGTCTCGGTTCTTGATGATCATCACGTCCTATGCCAACTACTATTTCACAGTGTTCATCGTGATCCTCATGGTTGTGTTTGGAGGTGAGTGTGACGAAGGGTGAGGCTCACCACAGGAGCACTGTGGGCTAAAAAGACATGAATCTTTTTGGAATTATCTGTGAAAAGTGAACAATTTTTTCAGCTGAGTTACTGATGTGGAATTTCTCTTTGTCTTTCTTGTCAGTATAGAATTTAATCAATTTTAAAAAAAGTAATCAGTTTTCCATAAAAAAAAAAATGAAAGTGTTGAAGTATTGTACATTTTCATGATATAAAGTGAGTAGTTGCTGACCCTATCCTGTGCTGACCCTATCCTGTGCTGACCCTATCCTGTGCTGGCCCTATCCTGTGCTGGCCTGATCCTGGCCCCAGTCTTCAGTGTGCTTTATTTCTAGATGCTATACGAGAGGTGTATAAATACTCTGGGGAGGAGAAGATGCTGGACCCCAAGACCACGCACCACGACACTCTGGAGCACATCCAGCTGCGTCTGTTCCGCTCCCAGCGCAATCTGTACATTGCAGGCTTTGCCTTGTTCTTGTGGCTGTAAGTTGACATCTCCAGGTCATGCTGTCCATGTCTCTCTCACTCTGTGGACATGTTTAAAGTCAAGTCCACCAGGACTGTACCTCTGCATATGGAGAACAATAACTGGCTAATTTTATTTGCTTTGTTTGAGTTTTAGAGGGGTTGGGGGTAATTGATAATGAAGAGTATTGGGAAGTATGAAAAGTTTTTTATCCAAATCTATTTAATTACTGATCTTTCGTTGACAAAAATCCCAAAAATAATTCAAAATTTATTTGTAAAAATGAGCCCCTTATTTGTTACTTGTGGCACATACTTTAAACTTGATCCAGGGAGAGGGAGAGACTTCTTGGACAGCATACTCACATATATCCAGTGATGTTCTAGTATAAGACTGTAATTTAAAACTTGCAGATTCCATACGTGAAGTGTACAAGTACAACATCTCTAAAGAATCATTGGACATTAAAACCTCTCAGGCTGCCACGCTGGAGCATGTTCATATGAGACTCTTCAGAGCTCAGAGGAATTTCTACATTGCTGGGATGTCCCTGTTTTTATTGGTGTAAGTAGGGCCAGGCACCACTGTTTACGCTGCTTTGTGTGAATCACTACACCTTGTTTTTTTCTCTCATAACTCCCACAGTGGCTGTTGTATTTTCTTTGGGATATTTTGAAGTGGATGATGACCATTTCAGCATGTTACATCATGGTTTGTGCTGAGAAGAAGGGGTGGAGGAGCTTGTGGTTTACTCTGCCTGTATTCCTCTGTATGCTCCTCTGACTCCTATTACCCTGCCCCCCCCCCCCTCCCCTCCAATATATATATCTGGCAACCTTTAGATATAGGAGATATGGCTAAAAAAGACCATAGAACAAGCCTTGAAATATACTTCAGTTATCTTTGGGATGTTAACAGGAAGCCCTATATGCTTTGTCTTCAAACAAGATCAATCTGGCAATTGTGCATCACGTATGATATAACAGCCTGATCTTAGAAACATACAAGAAAGTGCGTGCCAGCAGTAGCTTGGATAGCTGTCAGTGCCTGTAGTTTCACAGTCATGATTAGATATCAGCAAGTCTTTTCCAAATGTATCACTCTAGTGTTTGGGTAGATGGCATATTAACACTGGTGTGCATTGTAACCAAACTAACTCCTAGTTTAGATTGCCACATGGACCAGACCCCCCATCCTCCATCTATAGAGTAAGGGAGCATTCCCATTGACACAACAGACTAGTCCAACTCTGCGGAGTCTCTCACTTAATGCAGTTGGCTTTACTGAATGAGCCACCCTCTAGAGCAGGGAGAGGTATTGGTATCTGGGTTAATTACCACCTAGCTGTTTGAGGAGGTGTGTCAGACAATTAAACTGACTCTGCTTGACACTAAGAGAGAATCCATGTTAGAGTTGGACAAACCTAACTAGTTTGACGTGTCTATGGGAATAGATTCTTACTTATGCCTGGCTGTACAGTTAAGTATGGGATATTTTTACAGACCCTGAAGAGGGTAAGAGGAGGGGGGCTGCTTAGTGACTTAGTGACCCTTTTCAGGTTGTTAAGTCAGGCAAAATTGTTTTCTTTTGCTTGTGATTTGTTTGCACCCAGGTTTTGCGGGTTGATTTATTTGTTTAGTTTTGTCTCATATGTTTCCTGCACCAGCCTGGGGCTATTGGGAGGTTATAAAATGTGAGGATTTATTTTATAGTAAAGAGATCATAGCCATAGATGCATGCATAACATAATTGATTAGATGTACTGATATTAAATTGCGTCTCTGGATAAATAACTGTTTAGTTCATCCTTGCCATTATTGTGTTAATGCCTTTTAAGATGTATTTATTTTAATATAATTTTATTTGTGTTTTATAAGCATTCATTTCATTATTCTTGTTTGTAAATCAAAAGATGCATAAAATATACTGACAGTCAATGAAAATGCATGATTTATTTATCAAATAATATTTCAAGTTCCTTTTGCACATTTAGAAAATAACAGTTTTCCTTTGAAATATGAAATGGTGGTCAGCCCACTCGCTTATGACCAAACAAGTGCATTTCTACTCGTTTATATGGTTGGAATCGATTCTCGGTAAAAAAGTACAAGAAAGTTTTCTGATGCGCTTTCATTGACTGTCTGTATATTTGTGTTTTGTAAGCATTCATTTCATTATTTGTGTTTGTAAATGAGAAGATGCATAATCATTATTTTATATTATTTAGGAGAGCAGAAAATGAAAAATGACTGAGTGTTCTGAGATAATAATGAAAACATTTAAGTTCTGATCATAGAAAAGTTTGCTCCAATAGCTTAAAGTCTCTGTCTTTTAGGACAGAAGCACTATTGATATCATATCTCCATTCCAGTATAGCTCAGTGACCAGAAGTTTGACGTTTCTAGCTGTCACGGCTCAGAGATGTGGTCTTGACGCAGGCAGAGAACTATTTCCACTGATAAAGAATACTATTACTGTTCTTGTTTTGCTCTAGAGTGTTGAAGAGATTGGTAGTTCTGATATCTGCGGCTGCTACCCTCACTGCTCAGAGAGATGTGGTCTTGACGCAGGCAGAGAACTATTTCCACTGATAAAGAATACTATTTCTGTTCTTGTTTTGTTCTAGAGTGTTGAAGAGATTGGTAGTTCTGATATCTGCGGCTGCTACCCTCACTGCTCAGAGAGATGTGGCCTTGAAGCAGGCAGAGAACACCTCTGCTCATGCCAAGAAACTGATGGAAGAGGCAGATACTAAGAAGGCCAATAAAGACAATGAGGTACTCATGGGAGAAGTGGGATGTTTACTTAACAAACAGATTCGCTTTGGCAAAATTGATTTATGAAGAGTAATTAGGGGCTGCTTAATTACATGTGTAGATTTTTAAATCCTTGAAATTTTCTCATTAATCTTACTTCTTAATAAGTGATTTCTGACCTAAGAGACAAATTGAAGTTTGTTTATTGCAAGGCTATAAGATCTTGATCCTACCCTAAAAAAAGTCATGTTATTCCACTCCAGGAGAAGGATGAAGAGAGAAAGAGGACCTCCAGTGCCAGTGACAAGCTAGAGGAGGAACTGAAGAGAGTGAAGGAAGATCTGGAGAAGTCTGAGTCAGGTAAGAAGATCTGGAGAAGTCTTAGTCAACTGAGCATCAATACTTCTAGATACAAGATGTAAAAGGCATTCAGGATTAGAGTTTGCACTAAGGATTAGAGTTTTTTGGGGTCCAGAAAAAATGATTTGTCAAGATGTTTCATGTCTCAATCTTTGAATCAGTGACTTTGACTTAAATAAATTGTGTGTTATGATTTTGTCCATTCCAGAACTGGAGCAATCTAAAAGGGATTTGCAGACGTTAAAGAAGCAAGCGTCTGCCACCAACAATGAGTATGATCGTCTGCTCAAAGAGCATGCTGAACTCCAGGTACAACTGAATTTAGGACAGATAATATAATCTTTTTTTTTAAGAGAGGGGTCAGAAATTTAAGCGAGTCAGCCTTCCTCTTTCATGCAGTTTTGTTCATGTGTCTTTTGAATATGTTTTATGAGAAGAAAACTAATGATAAATATAATTGTGGAACTTAATCAATAGTTCTGCAGAGGAATTTGTTTATGTTGAGTTGCCTCTATCCCAGAACATAGAAATGTGTTGTTGTTTATTTCAGGCTAAGTTAGAGTCAGGAGGTGAAGACAAGAAGGACCTGTAAGGGCAGTGTGACATGGATGTCTCTAAGTATATATGACTGTTTTACAGTACTGTGGTGAAGTGAGCTGCAGTTTTAAAGGACTTACTATTAACAGAATACCAGCCAGGAGGGTGCAATGAGGACCCACATACACACACATAAACTCCATGTGTGTGTGTCTATTTCTGCTTACTTGTGCTGGTTAAAACTAGTCTAATCAAGCAAGATAGATATTCAAAATTAAAGTTTTTGTGACAATTTTTACCCTTTTTTACCAAAATATTGAGGCACATTTGCTAAAATGAATATTTCTGCACTCACTGCAACTGATATGGATAATTAGAAACTTTATCACGTTTATGAACTATTGCATTTGTCAAAAAGGGGTTAAAAATCAAATAGGTATAGGTGAAATGGAACTCCAGAAATTGCTTCTGTAATAAAAATTGCCATTGTAAAAATGTATTTTATTTATAAAAGAAAAAGTAATATAAAGCTCTCTTGTCCTGTTTACAAAGGGAAACTTTCAGAATGGGAGAAAATGCTGCTTTCAGCTACTCATTGCCCTGTATCCAAGTGAAGGCTTTTGTTGTAATTTTCAAGGGTTTTATGTAATGGAAAGATGACAGAAAAGAAGCTAAGCCAGATGTGGTCTGTGCTGGTTTCTTTTTATTTGCAGCTTTGAAAAATATCTTGAAATCCACAAAACTACAATTTTACACAGTGCTCAAGAGGTTGGGGCAGGCGTGTTTGTACAAGTGATTAACTTCATTATATCTTCAAGGATAGAAAGAAATTAGATTCATAGTTTTAGATCCATACCTTGTCTACGGACTGACAGTTTCATCCCCTATTTCTGATGTCTTGGTCACAGTAGATGGGACTACAAGAATTGTCCCTCTTAGCTGTGAAATGCAAGAATAAGTGGAAAAGGTTTGAGTCTAAAATCTTTGAATCTAACCTGCCTAGGGTAGAATGGAAGTGGTGATAAAGAACAATGGCTATCCACATAGCCACAGTAGGTTAAACTGGAGGTTTATGTTACTAAGGTATTGTAACAATGTTACTCATTTATGATAAAGGAAAATACTGTGGTGAGATTTTAATGACCAGTGATTAAAGGTAATTAGTATACCAATCCTGTAGAAAGTGTGACTTATTAAGTTCTGCCACTCACCACATTTGAATGAATGTTAAAATAAAGTTTGGTCCATTGTGTTTTTTTTTTTTTTTTTTTTTTTTTGCCATAGCTGCATTTTAATGTAGTTTTGCACCAAATGTTTTGAATAACTTAGTTGTTAAAAATATATGTATAAAATTGATTATATTTCAAACAAATGCTTTTAAGAAAATGCCTTCAGATTTTGTGCTACATGCCTTCCATGTTCACTTCTTCTAGAATGGTTTGTTATAGCAGTATGTTACAGCTGATGTCACTTATGTACTGGTGCTATGTGGGAGGTTCTTGATATTATATATTAACAACAGAATAGTTTCTGAACACAATCATGGTATAAGATGAATAGAAAATGTTTCTGAATCATGCATTGATAGTTATGCCGTAGAAAATGGATATGAAAAATAATTTACATTGAAATGGTTGCATCATGTATGAAATAAAGCCTTGCTTAATTAAAATTTTTGTGGTCCTTCTTACACATAATAGACAATGTTTTTATTGTTAAATTGGCTGCTGGATGTTATTATTGCAAAAATACATAGTCAAGATAGTCTTGCCTTCCCAAAATTAAATTGATGAGCAGACTTTACGAAAGGCGTCGGACCGTCGGACATGCCTGGCAAATTTCGTCTTGGTCCGATAAAAAATCTTGTATCGTCGGACCTTATGTCCGGCGGGTTTTCAAACTGGCTGGGAATGTGTAAATATGGGTACGTACGGATANTTTTCTATGGGAAATAATGGTGTGTTCTCTCTCTGTATGGAGTGGGGTGTAACCCAGGGCTCACTGGGCAGATGGTCAATTAATCCATCATCAGCATGCACTTGTGACAATTGGATTTATTTCAATAGTTGAAGTATTTACAGTATTCAGATTGTGCAGTTGGAGTACAATGATGCCTTGATTAAAGACATAGTATCTGTGATCAGCCTCCACATTGTGTGGCATATTGACCTCACATTAAAGAAAGTTCTGAATCAAGTCCATTGTAAAGTTAAGGCATACAATGAAAAGATAATATCTTGAAATGTTCAATTTGACTATTTTCATTAATGGAAAGGAGAGAGAGAGATATATATTGTAGTCCAGGTGCTAGTGTTCTATTTTCTATAGTACCTGTACTACAATCAGTGACAAACATGCGCACGTCTTCCAGTGAGAAGTTGGTCTGAGTATGATGTGATAACTGAGATGTATTGTGAGATATGGAGACTTAGGGTGTGGTATAAAGTGACTGTAGCAGGTGCTTCTGTTCAGTATATCCAGACATCTAATAATTGCTAAGGCCACATTCACAATCTGTTGATTAGCAGACTAACAGATCTGCAGATCAACTTTGCTTGTGAATGTGGCTTTCATTGTTTTGTTTACAGTATAATAGATGCAATTAAAATAGAAAATTTTACCTCACATTTTTCCTCTTTAATTCAATTTAAGTTTATTGTAAATGTTGATGATGTCATTCCAGATGGCAGAAACTGTTCAAGTCTCGGTTCTTGATGATCATCACGTCCTATGCCAACTATTATTTCACAGTGTTCATTGTGATCCTCATGGTTGTGTTTGGAGGTGAGTGTGACGAAGGATGAGGCTCACCACAGGAGCACTGTGGGCTAAAAAGACATGAATCTTTTTGGAATTATCTGTGAAAAGTGAACATTTTTTTCAGCTGAGTTACTGATGTGGAATTTCTCTTTGTCTTTCTTGTCAGTATAGAATTTAATCAATTTTAAAAAAAGTAATCAGTTTTCCATAAAAAAAAAATGAAAGTGTTGAAGTATTGTACATTTTCATGATATAAAGTGAGTAGTTGCTGACCCTATCCTGTGCTGGCCCTATCCTGTGCTGACCCTATCCTGTGCTGGCCCTATCCTGTGCTGACCCTATCCTGTGCTGACCCTATCCTGTGCTGGCCTGATCCTGTGCTGACCCTATCCTGTGCTGCACCCTATCCTGTGCTGACCCTATCCTGTGCTGACCCTATCCTGTGCTGGCCCTATCCTGTGCTGACCCTATCCTGTGCTGACCCTATCCTGTGCTGGCCTGATCCTGTGCTGACCCTATCCTGTGCTGGCCTGATCCTGGCCCCAGTCTTCAGTGTGCTTTATTTCTAGATGCTATACGAGAGGTGTATAAATACTCTGGGGAGGAGAAGATGCTGGACCCCAAGACCACGCACCACGACACTCTGGAGCACATCCAGCTGCGTCTGTTCCGCTCCCAGCGCAATCTGTACATTGCAGGCTTTGCCTTGTTCTTGTGGCTGTAAGTTGACATCTCCAGGTCATGCTGTCCATGTCTCTTACTCTCTACGGACATGTTTAAAGTCAAGTCCACCAGGACTGTACCTCTGCATATGGAGAACAATAACTGGCTAATTTTATTTGCTTTGTTCAGGGGCGGATTTAGGCCGTCTTCTGGGTCTTCCGGAAGACGGTCAGATTTTCAAGTTTACATTGACAGGTATCCAATTTTTCATGTTGGAAGACGGTCAGAATTAGAGGGTGAATCAACAAAGATAATTTGGAAGACTGTCAGAAAATAGTTCTGGGTCCGCCCCTGTTGTTTGAGTTTTAGAGGGGTTGGGGGTAATTGATAATGAAGAGTATTGGGAAGTATGAAAAGTTTTTTATCCAAATCTATTTAATTACTGATCTTTAGTTGACAAAAATCCCAAAAATAATTCAAAATTTATTTGTAAAAATGAGCCCCTTATTTGTTACTTGTGGCACATACTTTAAACTTGATCCAGGGAGAGGGAGAGACTTCTTGGACAGCATACTCACATATATCCAGTGATGTTCTAGTATAAGACTGTAATTTAAAACTTGCAGATTCCATACGTGAAGTGTACAAGTACAACATCTCTAAAGAATCATTGGACATTAAAACTTCTCAGGCTGCCACGCTGGAGCATGTTCATATGAGACTCTTCAGAGCTCAGAGGAATTTCTACATTGCTGGGATGTCCCTGTTTTTATTGGTGTAAGTAGGGCCAGGCACCACTGTTTACGCTGCTTTGTGTGAATCACTACACCTTGTTTTTTTCTCTCATAACTCCCACAGTGGCTGTTGTATTTTCTTTGGGATATTTTGAAGTGGATGATGACCATTTCAGCATGTTACATCATGGTTTGTGCTGAGAAGAAGGGGTGGAGGAGCTTGTGGTTTACTCTGCCTGTATTCCTCTGTATGCTCCTCTGACTCCTATTACCCTGCCCCCCCCCCCCCACCCTCCCCTCCAATATATATATCTGACAACCTTTAGATATAGGAGATATGGCTAAAAAAAGACCATAGAACAAGCCTTGAAATATACTTCAGTTATCTTTGGGATGTTAACAGGAAGCCCTATATGCTTTGTCTTCAATCAATATCAATCTGGCAATTGTGCATCACATATGATATAACAGCCTGATCTTAGAAACATGAAAGAAAGTGCGTGCCAGCAGTAGCTTGGATAGCTATCAATGCCTGTAGTTTCATAGTCATGATTAGATACCAGCAAGTCTTTTCCAAATGTATCACTCTAGTGTTTGGGTAGATAGCATGTTAGCAGTGGTGTGCATTGTAACCAAACTAACTTCTAGCTTAGATTGCCACACAGATTGGGCCAGACCCCCATCCTCTGTCTATAGAGTAAGGGAGCATTCCCATTGACACATCAGACTAGCCCAGCTCTGCAGAGGCTCTTGCTAAGTGCACTTGGCTTAACTGAATGACACACCCTCTAGAGCAGGGAGAGGTATTGGTATCTGGGTTAATTACCACCTAGCTGTTTGAGGAGTGTTGTCAGACAATTAAGCTGACTCTGCTGACACTAAGAGAGATTCCATGTTAGAGTTGGACAAACCTAACTAGTTTGACGTGTCTATGGGAATAGGCTCTTACTTATGCCTGGCTGTAGAGTAAAGTATGGGATATTTTTACAGACCCTGAAGAGGGTAGGAGGAGGGGGGCTGCTTAGTGACTTAGTGACCCTTCCCAGGTTGTAAAGTCAGGCAAAATTGTTTTCTTTTGCTTGTGATTTGTTTGCACCCAGGTTTTGCGGGTTGATTTATTTGTTTAGTTTTGTCTCATATGTTTCCTGCACCAGCCTGGGGCTCTTGGGAGGTTATAAAATGTGAGGATTTATTTTATAGTAAAGAGATCATAGCCATAGATGCATGCATAACATAATTGATTAGATGTACTGATATTAAATTGCGTCTCTGGATAAATTACTGTTTAGTTCATCCTTGCCATTATTGTGTTAATGCCTTCTAAGATGTATTTATTTTAATATCATTATATTTGTGTTTTATAAGCATTCATTTCATTATTCTTGTTTGTAAATCAGAAGATGCATAAAATATACTGACAGTCAATGAAAATGCATCATTTATTTATCAAATAATATTTTAAGTTCCTTTTGCACATTTAGAAAATAACAGTTTTCCTTTGAAATATGAAATGGTGGTCAACCCACTCTCTTATGACCAAACAAGTGCATTTGTACTCATTTATATGGTTGGAATCGATTCTCGGTAAAAAAGTACAAGAAAGTTTTCTGATGCGTTTTCATTGACTGTCTGTATATTTGTGTTTTGTAAGCATTCATTTCATTATTTGTGTTTGTAAATGAGAAGATGCATAATCATTGTTTTATATTATTTAGGAGAGTTGGAAATGGAAAATGACCTGAGTGTTCTGAGAAAATGCTGAAAACATCACTGAAGTTCTGATCATAGAGAAGTTTGCTCCAGTAGCTTGAAGTCTCTGTCTTTTAGGACAGAAGCACTATTGATATCATATCTCCATTCCAGTATAGCTCAGTGACCAGAAGTTTGGCGTTTCCCGCTGTCACTGCTCAGAGATCATATGTGGCCTTGAAGCAGGCAGAGAACTATTTCCACTGATAAAGAATACTATTTCTATTCTTACTTTGTTCTAGAGTGTTGAAGAGATTGGTAGTTCTGATATCTACAGCTGCTACCCTCACTGCTCAGAGAGATGTGGTCTTGACGCAGGCAGAGAACTATTTCCACTGATAAAGAATACTATTACTGTTCTTACTTTGTTCTAGAGTGTTGAAGAGGTTGGTAGTTCTGATATCTGCGGCTGCTACCCTCACTGCTCAGAGAGATGTGGCCTTGAAGCAGGCAGAGAACACCTCTGCTCATGCCAAGAAACTGATGGAAGAGGCAGATACTAAGAAGGCCAATAAAGACAATGAGGTACTCATGGGAGAAGTGGGATGTTTACTTAGCAAACAGATTCGTTTTGGCAAAATTGATTTATGAAAAGTAATTAGGGGCTGCTTAATTACATGTGTAGATTTTTAAATCCTTGAAATTTTCACATTAATCTTGCTTCTTAATAAGTGATTTCTGACCTAAGAGACAAATTGAAGTTTGTTTATTGCAAGTCTATAAGATCTTGATCCTACCCTCAAAAAAGTCATGTTATTCCACTCCAGGAGAAGGATGAAGAGAGAAAGAGGACCTCCAGTGCCAGTGACAAGCTAGAGGAGGAACTGAAGAGAGTGAAGGAAGATCTGGAGAAGTCTGAGTCAGGTAAGAAGATCTGGAGAAGTCTTAGTCAACTGAGCATCAATACTTCTAGATACAAGATGTAAAAGGCATTCAGAAACAGGATTAGAGTTTGCACTAAGGATTAGAGTTTTCTGGGGTCAAGAAAAAATGATTTGTCAAGATGTTTCATGTCTCAATCTTTGAATCAGTGACTTTGACTTAAATAAATTGTGTTATGATTTTGTCCATTCCAGAGCTGGAGCAATCTAAAAGGGATTTGCAGACGTTAAAGAAGCAAGCATCTGCCACCAACAATGAGTATGATCGTCTGCTCAAAGAGCATGCTGAACTCCAGGTACTACTGAATTTAGGACAGATAATTTTATCTTTTTTTTAAGAGAGGGGTCAGAAATTTAAGCGAGACACCCTTTATCTTTCATGCAGTTTTGTTCATGTGTCCATTGAATATGTTTTATGAGAAGACAACTAATGGTACATTTAATTGTGGAACTTTATTAATTGTTCTGTAGAGGAATTCGTTTTTGTCGAGTTGCTTCTATCCCAGAACATAAAAATGTGTTGTTGTTTATTTCAGGCTAAGTTAGAGTCAGGAGGTGAAGACAAGAAGGACCTGTAAGGGCAGTGTGACATGGATGTCTCTTAGTATATATGACTGTTTTACAGTACTGTGGTGAAGTGAGCTGCAGTTTTAAAGGACTTACTATTAACAGAAAACCAGCCAGGAGGGTGCAGTGAGGACCCATATACACACATATAAACTGCATGTGTGTGTCCATTTCTGCTTACTTGTGAAGATTTGGCCAATGGTCAAAACTAGTCTAATCAAGCAAAATAGATATTCAAAATAAAAGTTTTTGTGACAATTTTTACCCTTTTTTACCAAAATATTGAGGCACATTTGCTAAAATGAATATTTGTGCACTCACTGCATCTGATATGGATAATTAGAAACTTTATCATGTTTATGAACCATTGCATTTGTCAAAAAGGGGTTAAAAATCAAATAGGTATAGGTGAAATGGAACTCCAGAAATTGCTTCTGTAATAAAAGTTGCCATTGTAAAAATGTATTTTATTTATAAAAGAAAAAGTAATATAAAGCTCTCTTGCCCCGTGTACAAAGGGAAACTTTCAGAATGGGAGAAAATGCTGCTTTCAGCTACTCAGTGCCCTGTATCCAAGTAAAAGCTTTTGTTGTAATTTTCAAGAGTATTATATAATGGAAAGATGACAGAAAAGAAGCTAAGCCAGATGTGGTCTGTGCTGGTTTCTTATTTGCAGCTTTGAAAAATATCTTGAAATCCACAAAACTACAATATTACACATTTCTCAGGAGCTTGGGGTATGCATGTTTGTACAAGTGAATAACTTCATTGCATCTTCAAGAATAGAAAGAAATTAGATTCATAGTTTTAGATCCATACCTCGCCTACGGACTGTGACAGTTTCATCCCCTATTTCTGATGTCTTGGTCACAGTAAAAATTGTCCCTCTTAGCTGTGAAGTGCAAGAATAAGTGGAAAAGGTTTGAGTCTAAAATCTTTGAATCTAACCTGCCTAGGGTAGAATGGAAGTGGTGATAAAGAACAATGGCTATCCACATAGCCACAGTAGGTTAAACTGGAGGTTTATGTTACTAAGGTATCGTAACAATGTTACTCATTTATGAAAAAGGAAAATACTGTGGTGAGATTTTGATGACCAGTGATTGAAGGTAATTAGTATACCGATCCTGTAGAAAGTGTGACTTATTAAGTTCTGCCACTCACCACATGTGAATGAATGTTAAAGTAAAGTTTGGTCCATTGTGTTTTTTTTTCATAGCTGCATTTTAATGTAGTTTTGCACCAAATTTTTTGAATAACTTGGTTGTTAAAAATATTTGTATAAAGTTTGGTTCTATATCAAACAAATGCTTTTAAGAAAATGCCTTCAGATTTTGTGCTACCTGCCTTCCATGTTCACTTCTTCTAGGATGGTTTGTTACAGCAGTATGTTACAGCTGATGTCACTTATGTACAGGTGCTATGTGGGAGGTTCTTGATATTATATATTAACAACAGAATAGTTTCTGAACACAATCATGGTATAAGATGAATAGAAAATGTTTCTGAATCATGCATTGATAGTTATGCTGTAGAAATTGACATGCAAAATAAACTACATTGAAATGGTTTCATCATGTATTAAATAAAGCCTTGCTAAATTAGCATTTTTCTTGGTCCTTCTTACACACAATAGACGATAAATGTTTTTATTGTTAAATTGGCTGCGGAATGTTATCATTGCAAAAATACATAGTCAAGATAGTCTTGCCTTCCCAAAATTAAATTGATGAGTAGAACAACACAATAGTTATTTACCACTATGTGCACAACAAGTAACCTTGAAGAATTAAATAGCGTGGCACCTGCGTGTGTGCTTCAGTAATAACTGGCAAAAGTCACACTCACAGAGACGTATATTGCTGTAGCAGAACTGTTAATCTCAACTAACACAATGAGGGGTTTGTTGCTAGGATGCACAGTTGTTTTAATCATCTCTAACACAGCGCTGAGTATAGAGTCACTACCCGACCAAACGTATGTAATGTGTGACATTTACCTGATCGTTGTGCAGTGTACCTAGAACAGTACACCAACCCATAGCGTGTATAAAGAAAGGAATTATGTGATTGTTTATATATGACTTTTGTGTGATATGACGAAGATATGCCATGTTAAAAAGACTTATCTTAACATTTTGCTTCACGTGCTGTAAAATATCACATACACTCACGTACCCATACATACAACAACAGCAACGACAACAACAAAAATAATATTGAACCGAAAAAAATGACAAAAAACGGCGTTTTTATTGAATAAATGGTTGGAGGCATGTTGACAGTTGGTGGCAAGGAACAGTGTCGAAAACGCAGTCAAAAGCCGCAGTCAAAAGTGACTTTTTAGCTATGAAGTATTCGCTCTCTGTATATTTAAACTTCTACACCTGCAAGTAAGTTTAAGAAATATTCTTGAAAATACAGCACACCCCCTACCCCTACCCCTACCCCCACCCCCACCCCCAAGGCTATCTTGTAGATGTCGGGGTTTTCACTCTATACCTAAACTATTGGCCAGACTACCTCGCCTATCCCTCTGATATCCCGAGGGAAGGGCAACAACCCGAGGGAAGGGCTATAACCCAAGAGGGGGGGGGGAAATGAGATCCACATTTTCTATCAAGTATCATAGAAAAACGACAGTATACCATATCTGAAGATGTGAATGTCTTCGCCCGAAAATTGGGAAAATGTATCGGAAAAAAAGTAAAGCAAAAATTGGTTGTTTCTTTCAGAAAGTAATAAGGTTTTAGTAACACACCAAGTAGGTGCTCAAGTTGAATAATTTTACAGGGCTACAATAGATAACATTTTAACATTTAGGATAATTACTTGGTTTGGTGGTGTAACTGAGGAGAATAAAGAGAACCTGGATAGTATGATCAAGACTGGCTGTGAGATTTGATAGTAGTGTTGTTGAGAGAATGAAGAAGAGAAAGGAGAACACAATGACAGACTTTTATCATCCATCTTCAGATTCAATTTTTACCAAGCAACAAGAGACTTAACATTTAAAGACAATAAAAGATTTTAAAGAGTTTTTACCATTTAGTTATTGATCGTTTTAACTCCTTTTTAACTTGTCTTTTAAATATATCACTCAATTAATGGTTTTATTTTCCCAATTTAAACTTTAATGGTATCAATATTATATTTCATTTTAAGAGCTCCGACGGAAACCAAGTTTAAATGTATATGTTAAATATACTAGCTGCTGGAGAAGACGTTATTAAAAGAAAATAAACCGGTTAGTCTGTTTTTCATTCTTCTTTCTTTTTAAGACTTCTACTATAGACACAAATGTATAATTCAGATTTGCTTAGATATCGTGTACCTTATCAATATAGATCAGCGAGATCAACCGTTAACAGGACATTGGACATAAAACTTACGTAGAAAGATAAGGAGATGACTGGTGTAAAGATTGATAGCCTATGGTGTACATGGTACAGGGCTCGTTAGACGTTTTAGATTACCACATTATCTGCATGTATCCCGCTGAACATTTATAAGACGCACCGAATGCTAACTAGGATTTTTCTTTAGAGGTACGTCTACCTGTAGAACAGCTTCAAGTATTACCATGCGGCAAGGATTGAAAGCTTTTACTTTTCTTGTTTTTGTCAAATATCGATATTCCAAGGCCCGTGGCCCTAATGATTAAAACATTGAGGAAGGATTTTTCGGGGGAAAGTCGTTTTGTCGATTGAATCAAACACCCACAATAGCCTCTCTCTCTCTCTCTCTCTCTCTCTCGAAGTTGGTGATGCTTGCTGTCAGGAGTCAGTGCATGTTCAATCACTGGTCGGCAAGTAAGGTCAATGGGTTACAGAGAGGGATTGCGTCTGCTTTTTAGATTTAATGATAAAAAGTTATTTTAACCATAAGAATACGACTCAACACATGGCATGAACGCAGAAGCCTACATATTCACAAAAGAAAAAGAAATATGAAATCGTTTTTCAGTGGGCCTATGTCAAGAGCTTAAACAAAATCGGATGACAGTTAAAGTTACATTTCTTATCTCTAGCCTTGATCAGCCACTGTCAAACCGCGCAGTGTTTGGAACCAGATATATCTTTTGCAACAAATTATTGCGTAAATGATACGTTTTCGGGAAGATATGCATTCCGTGCCATTTTGAATTATGGATATAATTCCCAGCTACAAGCTCAAAGCTGCTAGGAAAGTTATGTCTAGTGTAGGTCCATGTCGGTGCTCTCATAAAGCTTCTTCTCACATCTCTAGTTCATGCAATCCAAAGGCACATTGTATCAAAATGTAGTAAGCTAACAGCAAAGAATAATATCTTAATTATGCCACGTGCATCCTACATCAACTACAATTTATTGAGAATGTTGCTCCATGGCAAAAAATAGTGAGAGATCGTCCCTGGCGAATTAAAAAGAACAGAAAAGGCCTTTGGTAAAGACATTTATTTTTGTCATGTTGAATGAAACAAATTAAAATTGGCAAAGTTAATGAGAAAAGTAGGCCTTGGTCTATCGACATTAACATGTGTGAATATATATGAATGGGGGGGGGGGGGGGGCTACGTTTTCATGACAAGGCCTATAAGAGGATTCTCAAAGAGCTCAAAGAGACACGCTTTAGGGCCCATTAAGAGATCATGCATGATCATACGGTCGACTTTGTAATTTTCGGTCTAATCTAACAATTTATTAATAATAGTAAACGTTTTAATCTACGGGGCTTCTGTACATGGATTCTCAATAAATAAAATAAAATAAAATAAAATAAAATAAAATAAAATAAAATAAAATAAAATAAAATAGGCGTTTTGGCCTATTGAAAGATCATGCATGATCATATGTCCAGATTAGTAGGCCTATTAAGTTTCGATATTAGGCCTACAATATTTCTTTTATCATATTATTTTAGGCCTATTAGCTAGTAGGCCTAACTATTTTAATCTTGTATGGGACTATCTAGACCTATTCAGAATCGGGCTTAACTTTTTTTAATGGGGTTATTTTATTGTGGTTGAAGTTAGATCTACAGTTCTACACCACACATGGATCCAAGGATAGGGGGAAGACACTGCAAGTGGGGCCTACGTTAGTTCAAGAAGTTGTAAAGAGACTTCTTGGTTATTTCTTTGTCAAGGAGACCGTCTTTAATGAGTCTAATCTCTGGCTGACTGCATGCCTGCAGTAGGCTATACTGGGGTAGGTCTAATTAAATCATTAAGGCATAACCGATAATCATATAGGCCTATATAGGTCCCTTATGTCCTGATCTTTGACTGAATGTTACACTGGGCGAATTTTTTCTTATTAAGTAGCCCCTAAATTTATTTCTTGTATGCCTGATTTAAAACTTTTAAAAACCGGTCTTCATGTAGGCCTATTTGCCTCATACCGGCCTTATGGCATTGGTTTGGGTTAATAATTTAATCGTGACGCGTATTAAATATGAAAATCTAGCATTGATGTCTAAATGCACAGATTTAACACTATAAAACAAGCTAGCATTCAAGCATAGTTATGTCAGTGTTATGGGCATATGTACGCAACAAAGTCCTATCGATTGATGAAACAATCTCAGTAAACTAGACACCTGCCATTTCCAAGTATTATCAACTGGAATATTTGCAAGCTGCTCCTTAGACAAATGCGCTGATTGCAAATCTGTTGTCAACGAAAAACACGCATATACTTAACAGTAATGGTTAAAATACTGCTTTGAAATGCAGACATATGGAACTTATAAAATAAAATGTCACCGAGATTTTAATTTCCGAATCGGTCATTGTGCCACAGGCTACAATGCTTCTTAGTTACCTAGCAACACCTGACACTTATCAATCTTCCGCAAGCACTATTTAACGATCCTGAATAGGTGTCGCAAGAATGTGCCCAAGCGGCACTTCTATTTATTCAGAGTCCCTTATATTCATTATCAAGGTCACTTTGCAAAGGTAAGTTCATGAACTGCATAAAACCGTATTGAAGCGTCGATGTTCTTTTGTTGCGGATTAATTTGCTTGAGGGGCTTCGTGACGTCATTTGGCCTGTATCATGACTTGAAGTGAATGTCAACAGCAAGAGGTAAGTAACAGGTCGATGTACAACTCTCCCGAATGTGCAACCATGATTTGAATTAATGACTTAACGAAAAAGTTGAATGAGTTGATGAAGACAGTGAAGATTTACTTTTCCAGTGAATAATCTGCATGGTGGACAGTGTCACAGCATGAGTTTGGAAGTAATTGTTCCGTCTGGGTTGACAGACTTGCTTACGCCGTTCGTAGTGGCTGTCCTGCGAGATGGACCGGACGATTTGGTGGATTTTGCTGCAAATTACTTCAATGAACTCCGAGAAAAGAGGCAGGGAACGCTACCAGGAATGGGAAGGGGAGTTCGTTTTGTCCCTGGTTCCGACGATGAAGCCATGCAAACGGACTCTGACGATGAACCAATGCCAGGTGAGAGTGAACGCAAATCTGTTGTCAGCACTCATTTGTTGTACAAGTGATATAAACCGCAATAAGTCGTTAGGAACACCAGTAATTATATCGCTGTACAAAGGTAATTGGTTCGAAGTTTTGTTGAAAGGTGTATAAGTCTCCAATTTGACATTTTGCCCCAGGTTACATCGCCCAGCCAACCAAAGGCTGATAACTTACTTGATAAAGAAAAAAATCCCTTCTCTCAGTGAAAACCAGATTTCAGCACAGGTGGAGGAGAACATGTGGTTCAGTACTTTGTGTAAATATTGTGCCAGTCTTGTAACATCCCACAGAATTTTCTCCTCAAATAATTGCAAACAGCTCTAGGGTAAACAAGACAGCATCTTCAAATAATTGATGTAATAATGTACTCCCCCATGAATTACTTCTCGCTTTGAACAGTTATAGACTAACGAATACTGAATACAATAACACAATATGTGCTTGTTTTTTTCAAAAAAGATTAAGAATATAAGCATGTCATTATAAAAAGGGATGCATAGTGTAATTACTTTATTCCATCTTCTATTTATAAATAAAAAATAACATAAAGCCTGTCATATAGAAAAGAAAGACCTCATAAACCCTTGAAAGCTCATGATTTCGATTAGCATTTCTTTCATTTTGTTTGGATTATATGAAATGCCAATTCTCTCAATCTTTTAATCTGTCAGTTTTCAGATGTTGATGTTTCATCTTGATCAGCTCAGTTGGAAGGTCTTGTTCAGTATCAAAATAAAAGAATTGGCATAAAGTTGGTCGAGAAAAGATTAATCGGTATAGAAATGGGATCTTGATATTCTTAAACTGCATCTTCTAGTTATTGATCATGTTCTAATGGGATTGTTTTCATTTTACTGATTAAGTTGGGAATTTCATGTTTCTAGATTAGCTGTATACAGTTGTATTGAACAGATGGGCATCCTTGATTGGATTTGAATTGTTATTATCCATGCTATGGGAAGTAGTTCACTTCATACCATTGGATGCAGGAGTCATTTAAACTTGGTGTTTTGGTAGTATACTGATAGCTGGAATTCATAGTATTTTTAATAATTAAGTCTCTAGTACAGGACGTAAGGAATTCATGTGTGAAAAGAGCCTAGGATTTTGGCTGTAGGTAATAGAACATCAAATATTGAACAGACCAAATTGAAGATTGGCCTGCTGCTGGTAGAGAATAGATTTTTCTTAAGACACAAGTTAGTTCCTTGCTTTGTACTTAGCTATAAAGCTAGCTTAAGGTGGACATGACGGAGGTTTGTGATGTGGCAGATGGGTGTGTCAAGCAGCGAGAGAGACGGGGGGCTGTCGATTCCGCAGTAGGTAAGATGCTGTACTCTGGACAGAGTCAAATGTCAGCTTTATACATTTCTAAAGCATGGTTGTAAGTACTCTAAATATGAAATATTGACTTCTGCAGGCTACCCATGTTCGAATTATATTCCTGATCATTTGTCACAGTATGTTTATCTCAGAAACTGGCATACTGTTTAATTGTTTTTCCTGGTGCCATAGCAATGCAGAAAATATACTTTGGGAAATAATTTGAATCACATAGGCAACATGATATGCCTTTCTTTCATGTTTTTTAATTGAGATATACAGACTCGCATTTCTATGCTGCCTAAGGCATTAGGTGTCATTAGATTGTATGCCAGCATTTACAACTGTTTAAGGGATATTCCGTCCATTAACACCTGTGATAGTTTCCCCAGATGTAGACATTTGATCTTGATTACATTTGAGACGTAGGTTTAAAAGAATTGGATGATTTTAGTTGCTATTTTGTTACTATAGGCTAATTATAGGTACACCCAAGAGGACACGGGGTGGTATATTAAGGTTAAGTAGCCATAGTGTTCAGATCAATCAACCGTTTCCTGCAGTTTCACTGTCAATAGTTCATCATTTTCCACCATTTTCATCTTGTCAGTAGAAATTTGTACAGCGTTTAGAAAGATCAATCTTCTCCTTCAATACTCTCTGCTGTGTTGTTTACATATCTGTCTGTCTTGCCATATAAATAAACCTGTACTGGTGAGATAAAGCCAATGGTTTGTTTTATAATCAGAGATCACCTGTACATTTTACATCCGTCTAAGTGCAGTTGGTGTGCCTGGTAGAAATGGATTTTTAAATAAAGCAAGTTCTGACAGCTAAATCCTAACCACCAGAGGTTTAATTAAAGCACATAAAAAGGGACCACTCTTTTGGACTTACAACAGTACGAGTTTTATGGTTGTGTTCTCGAGATATAAAAATAACACAGCCTATTTCCTACAGGTTTTTGCTTTATTTCTACTCTCTGTAAAATTCTGTAATATGTCAGCAAAATGTCTATAATCCATTATTTTACAGTTGAAATGTGAATGTGTTGTCTTAACTGAAATCATATACGGTTCCTTAACATTTTATCTTAGAGTGGTTTCAAATTTAAACAAAACATGTAGTGAAGTTTAAATCCTTTTAGCATTGTAAGATACTAAAGGCATTGAATGATTGTTAATGAATTACAAAAAAAAAAAAATGGTTTTTTGAAACCTTAAACTCATCATACTAGCAAATGTATGATTTGTATGATGGACCCAGGATTTAATAATAAATATTGCTGCCCCAGACCTTTAATTTATATTCTGAAAAATGAAAATGTTGGTGTTTAGTGAGGTGTGAGGTGATGATTATGGCATGCATGTATGCTATACAAAACAACTTTACTTAATATGTAGTGTTATGTTATGTACTCAGCAGTTTTATAATATATCCCCTGTAAGTGAAGTATTAGATTAAACATCCTCTTAGTTTTGTTGCATATCTCTTATAATGCCAGTGAAGAATCTGCAGATATTGAAATACACCTTTTGAAATAATGTTTTATTTATAATCAGGCCCTTTTTTTCAGTATTACCAAAAATATGCTCTCATCTCAAATTGATTTCATTGTTAAGTAAAAAATACACCTTATATTTTGTAGCCTATGCAATAGAATTAGAGCAGTTGTACACCAGTCCAAGGCTTGTGGTAGGGCACTCATAGTTTACATAACTCCATGTCTCTGTGCTTTTATTCCAAATGTTATTTTTACTTAAGTTCCTATCAGTTGCATTTCATATATTTCAAAGGTTGTTCTCAATTTTGCCTGCATATTGGTTGAGTAAAGCGTATCTTGTCACAAGTTTTGTCTGGTCTAAATAGATAAGATAATGTTACAACAACCTTGAAGGGCCTGCGTTGATTACACTGGCAGATGAAGTGTATATAAATAGTGATATATAAATGGTGCCAGTTTCAATGAATCATTAATAAATTCAGCATTTCTAGGTTGTTAGGGACTTGATAGAAATTTTTCATATTGTCTGTGGACAGGTAGTGAACTGTGCCACTGGCTGCATAGTTTAATCTTTTTATTCACTAACTATTGGGAAAACAATAAAGTGGGCCTGTTAATAATGCATGGAAATTGTTGCCTTTGATGAAGATAATTTTGTAAAGTGGTACAACTGAAGAGCTTTGAGGATGTTTCTCTTTCAATTTACTAAAAAGTGTATTTAGCAGGAGTACTATGTGTGCAGGGTTTTGTATTCTATTCAGACAGTGAGCTGAAGAGGGCCAAGCAACTTGATGGATTTGTAGACTGCCAGGCAATTTCTAACTCAGTGGAAGCTAAATTGTTGTGGATTTTTTAAACACTTCTGATACATGGATAAAAAATCTCTGTTAACTTTTGTGCATGAAAAGATTACTCCCAAGTCTTGGGAAAACAAAACTCTATTGTTTATCTTTATTTTTCAGTGAGTTGAACGTTGTAGAATATTAGATAATAAATAGAAAGAAACAGTTAAGATTTTTTGTTTATTTAATAAATGACAAAAATAAGAAAAAAATAAATAAATAAATAAAATCTTGAATATGCTGCCTTTGGTATAAGCTGATTTGAAAAATTGTGGAGAACCTAACTCTTCTTTTACATAAATACTTTACATGGCTTTTTGTAATGAGGTGTTATATTTTTTATGTTTGAGATGTGAGAAATAATGCAGAAGGCATTTGTAAAGAGAAAATGATACATAAATGATTCAGCATATGCTATTTATGGATGATAATTGTAGTAGACTTTAGTACCAGGCAAATGATTTGTTTCTTGCAGATCAAAAGCTGCAAAGCCAAACAAAATTACTACTGTTGCAAGTTTTGAATATATGATGTAGGCAATGCCTTATGCTGCCCCAATTGATTTAATACCATGAAAAGACTACATAGTGAGGGCTGTCTAGTGAGTCTCTGTCGGAGTCTACCAGATAAGTTATATCACTGAGCCAGCTAAGTTATGACAACAGAATTCATTTATTTCATGGTTGAGTGTTCACCAATGCAGATTGGTGTGGTGAAATAACAGCCTGTGTCAACAAACAGGTGGGCCAGATTGCATGGACACTTGCTAGAAATTATTCTCTGGTCTATTCTTATGTTACAAGTTCTCCTTTGTGGCACCTAGACCTCCCCTGATGTTCATATATATATATATATATATATATATATATATATATATATATATATATATATATATATATATATATATATATATTTTTTTTTTTTTTTTTTGAATTATTGGGAGAACCATATGTTGGTCACATTCACTCCAAATCTAGCCAGTAAGTGCACTCTATCAGAATTCTGAAGAGAGCAGGTTTTTCACCTCATGACTCTGAAAATTTACATGTCAGATCTAAAACCTGCCCTAGAAGTTCTGCTGTTCAAGTGTGCCACACTGGATAGAAGTTCTGCTGTTCAAGTGTGCCACACTGGATAGAAGTTCTGCTGTTCAAGTGTGCCACACTGGATAGAAGTTCTGCTGTGCAAGTGTGCCACACTGGATTGACAAAATGCCAAACTGAAAATATTGAATCCGTCCAGAGACTCTGCAACTGGTAAATTTTGTATCTTTACAAAGTAGGTGTGATGGTCCATGGAAAATGTTTGAATGTATGCATACAGAAGGAAAACGCTATGTCTGCAATGAGTCTTTGGCACTGAGAAATTCTAGTGTATAAACTATGTTCCTTAGAACAGTTTTGAAAACATAAATTGCCAAAATTTGATATTTCAAATTATGAATTCTTCTTGAATGTTTTTAATGGATGATTTTTTATTTATAGTTACATTTCACTCTTTTAAAGTACAATCAAGTATTATTATTTTTTTTATGAGGATATTAATAACATTTTTAATATCATGGTTTTTGAACAGAGTTTAGTTGATATGCACATAAAATTCACGTTACCCTCTCACAAAAGTGACCAAGCTAATGAACTGTGTTTT